AAAAAAAAAAAAAAAAAAAAATCCTTAAAAATTACAGAACTCTGAAAAGGGGAGCCGAAGAGGAGCACAGAACATGGAAAGTGCCCCACTTCTGGAGAGGCAGAACCAATACAGCCAACGTGACCGTACTTTCAAAAGTGCTGCACAGATTTGATGTGATCCCCATTAAAATATCAACGGCATTCTCCAGAGATCGAGAGAAAACAATCCTCACATTTCAGTGGAACCAGAAGAGACCCACAATAACAAAAGCCATCCTGGGTAGAAACAGCAAAATGGGAGAACTCACAACCCAGACTTGAAGTTATATTAAAAAGCTGCAGTGATAAAAACAGCATGGTACTCACAAAAACAGCCATTGGGATCACTAAACACACCAGACCTCAGGCATACTCAGCTCCGATCTTCAACAGAAGGCCAACAACATACACTAGAGGAAAAAAAGCCTCCAATAAATGTTGCTGGGAAAACTGGCTACATGCAGAAAATTGAATCTAGACCCATGTATGTCACCATGTACTAAACTAAACTAAAATGGATCAAAGATCTAAATCTTAAAACAGAAACAATCAAAAAACAAAGCAAAACAAAACAAAACAAAAAAATAGAAACAATCTTCCGAAAGATAAAATAGGCAAAACTCTGAAAGACATAGGCATAAGCAAGGACTTTCTGAACAGAACCTCTATTGCACAAGAAATACTCTCGAGAATCAACAAAAGAGATCATTTCAAATTTCAAAGCATCCACACAGCAGACGAAACAACCAACAGAGTAAAGAGACAACCTACAGAATGAAGAGCTTTGCCAACTACTCCTTGGACGGGAGACTAACAGGATTAAAAAGAACTCCCAAAATTTGATACCAATCGAACTGACTTAATTTATTAAAAATAAATGGCCCGATCAAGAAATGGGAAGCTGAAGTGAACAGACCTTCTCAGAAGTACAAATAGCCAATAAGTACAGTAATAGAAGTTCAACAGTCCTGGCCCTTACAGAAAAGCAAATTAGAACAACACTGAGATGCTGTTTTATTCTAGAAAGAATGGATATCAGCATGAAATCAAATAATAACAAATGCTAATGAGGCTGACAAGAAAAGGAACCTTTACTCTGATGAGACTGTAAAGTAGCACAATTGCTATGGAAATCAGTATGGAGATTCCTTAAAAAGCAAAAAAAAGTTATTTCATTCAACTCAGCTCTCCCCCTTGAGGCACTTTCCTGAAACAGTGAAAGACATCATATTATCCCCCTCCCAAATCAGAGAGCTGAATCTGGGAAGCAGCCTATGTGTTCATCAAGGGGTGCGTAGGATTCATACACAGAGGAGCACTGCTCTGCCATAGGAAGGTGTTATGGTTTGTGTCTGGGTGTTCCCCCAAAGCCTCCTGCAGTCACGGGGCAGGCTCTTCTAGTTTGTGGTTAATTCATGATCCAATGCTAGGACCATGGGAGTGACTGCTAAGCCTGCCCCGGGGAGGACAGCCTGAACACAATGGAAGGAAGGGAGAGAGGCTTGCTAGCTGGTACAGTCGCTGCTCCTCCCTTTGCTCTTTGCTGCCTTCCGCCTCCATGGACTGCTGCCCTCTGCCATGTGTCAGTCTGCTTTGGAGCCAGCTAACTATGGACTGAAACCTCCACAAACTGTCAGCTAGCTAAACCTTTCTTTCCTTAATTTTGGGTGTTGGGTGTTTTATCCCAGCAATGAGAGAAAAGCAACCGAGACTGAAGGACAAACAAACAATTTGTAGGAAAATAGATGCACCTTGAGACCATAATGTGAAGTGAAATAAATCAGACTCACAAGTATAAATATCACAAGATAAGAGCAAAATAAATAATAGCAAGTAAGGAGGTACAGCTCTCTCAAATGGGATGGGGACCAAGAGGTAGGACTGCTGTGTGGCCAGCTTTCTAGTGCTGTAACACACACAGAGCACAGACAGGGAAGGCTGACTGTGGCTCAGCTTCCAAGGGCCCTGTCCAGAGTTGCTCAATACAGTTGCTTTGGAGCCAGGAGCCAGGCAGCAGGACATCAAGGCTGGGGATAAGAGGCAGAGGAAGCTGCTTACCTCATCAAGGCTAGGAGGCCACAGAGACAGCAAGGGCCCAGGTTTCCCAATGCACCCTTCAACCACCCAACTTTCTACCAATACCAATACCGCCTTCTCAAATGTTCACCACCGTCCAAGAAGCTTCAGGGGGGTGGGACCAAACCTTCCAAGTGTAGGCCTTGGGCACACTCCAGATCCAAACTATGGCAACAGAGATCAGAGTTGATTCTCAGTAATGTGTAAGGTGCATGACCATCTGCCACACAAGGAGAATCCAAATTGAGCACTCACTTTGGCAGCATATAAACTAAGCACTGGGATGATACAGAGAAGATTAGCACAGTCCCCATGCGAGGGCGACACGCAAATTCGCAAAGCATTACATATTTTTAAATCAGGTCCACAGGTGTAAGTGCTGTGGTGTGTCCCCAGTGTAAGATGCTGGGAGAGCAAATAGAATCTGAAAGGTACAGTGGATACTGGGAAAGGGAAGGAAACTGTCCCAAGGGAAGGAACAGCTGTGATGAGGGAAAGGAGGAGAGGAGGAAAGGAGGAGGAGGGAGGGAAAAAGAGCCCTCTATGTATATACACAGGGCAGCTTGGGTAACTGCACTGCTGATTTCTGCTGACCCATTGAAAGAAGCAGTTCATGTTTTAACTTTTCCTTTTTAATGTTTTACAATTTTTTTGGACTAGTATTGGAAGCTTATATCTGGTAATCTAATTTGAAGAACTACTTTGAAGGCAACAATATGCAATAGAACAACCATTGTTGAATTCCTATTATTTTGTTTAGTGAAATTCTAATTTATGTTTTTTCCTCTTTTTTTTTAATTCTCTTTAAAAATAAAGAAAAATTTAAACAACAAAAAATCCAAAAGGTGTGGTTCATGTCTTTCCTCCTTCAGAACCTGACTTGGCGCTTCCGTGATACCTCCTCCTGGACTGGTTTCATCTGGACTGAAGGTCTCAGTGCTTCAGCGCCCCGGCTGTGTGCACACCTGTAAGCGAGCCATGTCGCAGCACGTGGTAGTTCCTCTTGCTCAGCACCTAGCACTTCATCAGTTTCCTGTTTAAACATCTGCCTACCAGATCAATGCCAAGCTCCTGAGAGGGCCCTGACCAACTCTGCCTTGTTTCTCTTGGGTAAGGCACATAGTAGGGACTCAGGAAATAGTTGGTCAAGTGAATAAGTAGATGTACATCTAGCCAAGGCACAGTATTGTTGTTTTTACTCAATACCAGCTGACCCTTGGTTTTTCTATCTTCCCCATGAGTTTTCATCTTTTTTTTTTTTGGTGGGATCAGGGATTGAACTCAGGCCCTTACACTTGCCAGGGAAGCACTTATTCCACTGAGCCATCTTCCTGGCCCTTTTCCCATAAGCTTAAATGCCCTCCAGGCAAGCCTCTAATTTCAGAACATCACCATAACACCCTGCGGTAACTAAAAATAAATATAACTTAGCTTAATACTGTAAAAATCCTAAAAATACGGAACTAAAGATCAAACAAGGTGAATAGTTAGTGGTAGGGCCACTAGGAGGGGACAGTGAATCTAATACTGAGAGAAGAAATACTCAGCACGAGTACACTGCTGCTGTGGGTAGCTAAAGCTCCCTTCAAGACCCTGTGTTCAAGACCCATCCCGACTTGGCATCTTTTTGGGGAGCCTTTGGGAGCTGAGGCCTAGTGGGAGGCCCAGAGGTTGCTGGGACTGTGGGACGCGGTCTCTGGTTCTCTTTGCTTCCTGGACACGAGGACTGCATTTTGTTCCCCCCACTCTCTACCATTGCCATTGGCTCCCCCAACAGTGAGCCAAGTAAATCGTTTCTCTTTCTGAGCTAATGATCTCAGGTATTTTACTGTAGTGACAGAAAGCTGGTGAAAACAACTGTACACAGGGTGTTACCCATCAACGAGAAGCATAGTTTCCTAGTATGATATGAAGATTTTGCTACCGTCTTGTGGACATTAGTATGGGGGCAGGCTAGTATTAAAGTAATAGATTGTATAGCTGTTTTTTTTGTTACTACTATAACCAATATTTTAAACCTCTGAACTGTTTCTACTTCTATGTATTTACAGTACTTTGTTAATTGCACTGGAATCAAATGTTCAATATGTACCTATCTTGCCCTTGTTAGGTCCTGATGATGCAAATTAAGAGGGGTTTGCTCACGGTTTTAATACTGTCCTGCAGCCAAACTAAAAGTATATTCAATTAGTATTTGGTTTTATTTTTCTAATTTAGTAGTTTCTGATTTTCATTTTCTCTGTTTGAAAATTCCCAAAACACTGCTCTGAATCAAACAGCAATTCAGTGTCTCACTGTTAACCACAACCCCGGTACTTATCCGCGAAGGCAGGCCGAGCCTTGACCCAACACTCGCCTCTTCCAGACACAGCTGTCTCAGTTTCCTAGAAGGAAGATACTGTTATTTCCGTTCTAGAGGAAGACCAAAATAGAGCTTGACTTCAAAAACCATTCATGGCCAGCAAAAGGCAGATCTGGGCTTTCCCTCCCTGGTCTGACTCAGAACCGCAGCTCTTAACCACGAACAGTTACGGATACGGTGAAGATGCAGCGTAGAAGCACACGTCATTGCAAGTCCAGAGAATGCGGCAAGACAGCAGAGGCTGTTTCTCAGATGCTCAAGCTCTCGGAAGCTGATGGGGAGCGGGGACATGCACTGCAAGCGGTATGCTGTGGAGGAGAGGGGTGCCGACGGCTACCCCGAGACTTTCAACAGGCGTGGGGGAAGATTCAGGCTATACCGGAGGGCTAAACCCACAGGATGAATGAAGAGTGAGGGTGTTAAAGGCAAAGGGAAGCACTTCACAGGTGATACAAGAAGCACCTAGAAAAGATTCAGCTGTTCACGCGTCTCACGTAGAGGCAACAGGCGGTGAGGCTGGAAACTAAGGGTCACTTTGGGAAGGCAGATGTCCGGCTCCAGAGTTAGGACCCTTTGCTCTCCATTCCCTGCTCCATACAGGAGCTGCTCTTCATTGACTCCTTTTTAAAAATGTATTTGGTTGTTACAGGGTCTCACTACGCAGCTCAGACTCACAGTGATCTGCTTTCAGCTTCCCCAGCGCTGGGATTACAGGCGGCGCCATCACGTCACGGTGCCAGGGTGGATCTGCAGCCCCTACGCCGCGCTTGCTCAAGCAGGCACTTTAGCCCACTGAGCAGCTACCTTGCCGGCCCTCGGACCTGCTCTTCATACCTGGCTTGAGCTCTTGAAATGTATCCAGGACAAACTGAGAAATGGTAATGTGGGAAAAATACACGAAGACTTGGGAGGATAAAACAGTGTGAAATGTCGCATACTCAATTTTAAGTGGGTCACATTTTGAAGTGATAGTATTCTAGCTATATTGGGTTAAACAAAATATTTAAAATCACACATGGCTTGCACTCCTGGGTTACGTTACATTTCTATCTGACAGCTGCTCTAGAAAAATGGAACGTGAAAGATTAATGAGCAAGGTTCACGGAAAGTTGCGCTAGCGCCCATACGAAGTGACAAATGGATTTAGCTTACAGACAACTGATCTGGTGTTTATCTAAGTGAATCACAAGAAAAGGCCCAGGGTGTGAGGCAGGAACGAAGCTGTTGCAGCCTCAGAGATATCTAAGCGACAGAACAACTACATACTTGAGGTGCATCCTGATCTAAGGAAACAAAAACATTTTACAGTCAATCAGGGATTTTTTTTTTTAATTTTTATTTATTTGTGTGTGTGTGTGTGTGTGTGTGTGTGTGTGTGTGGCCAACTCAGCCCACCAGGGGGCGGGCTGGCAGGCATGTGGTGCTGGGGGATTGAACCGCGGTCCCTGTGCTTTGCTAAGCTTGTTCTAAGTACCTGCTTTAGACCACTGAGCCATCTCACCAGCCCGATCAGGGATATTTTTAAAAGACCCAGGTATCATTAAAATACTACTTCGATCAAAAACGACATTATGGAGATTAAAACCAGTATGTTTTAGGAATGTGAAGTATATCGAGAGACGAAATAACAAAACACTTTTGGATTTGCTGGAGTAAAAGTACCTTTCTTATTTCTTAAATCCAAATAAACAGAATAAAAGAGATAATCCAAAGCCTAACGGAATGGTAAATATAAACGGTTTTGCTGGGCAGACCCGGCACTTGCGCCTACGTCTCTGTCCCAGGAAAGACTGCGTAACGGAAAAGGCGCTCACTGCGGGTTTTGACGATACTGCGTGGGAAGGTAGTCAGGACACCTAATTCTGTCGCTTCAGGTATTTTGGTAGAGCCACGCGGTAACCTGGATCTGCCTGGTTTTCAGCATAAAGCCCTTCCGTCCACCTTCGGCATGCCACGTCTGCGGAGAACCGGCCTCTAGACTTCGCGCCTGGATCACTCCGCACTTCACCCCATCATCACATCACGACCATATTAGAATATTTGATCTATTCAGCTCAAGCTTCTCTGGAATTCTTAAGCTGAGACTTGGCAGGAGAAAGATTAAAAAGAAGGGAAGTAAATGTAACCGGTGGCAGCCACAGAACCCTTTCAACCCCATCCTGCTGTGCCGGCCCCGCCGGCCGGGGCCTGAGACAGCGATTGGGACAGGGCGTGGTGGCACGCGCCTGTAATCCCAGCGCCTGGAAGGCTGAAACCAGGAGGATCACTGAGTCCAATCTACGTAGTGAGACCCTGTACCAAATACATTAAAACAACAACAACAACAACAACAACAACAACAAAAACCCTTTCAACATTTCCACGTGAAGTTTGCACGGGCTGCCGAAGGCCCACAGCCGGCTTTCGCCTCCGAGAAGGAAGAGGGCCCTGGGCCAGCAAGCAGCCCCGAGAAGAGGCCGGGAGGGAGAGAAGGCGGCGAGAAGAGGGCAGCAGCGACCGACCGCAGCGGGCGGCCGGCGGCCGGCCGGGCTGACTCCGGGCGGCGCCCTCGGCTTTTCCGAGCCCCCGCCCGCGGCTGGAATCCGGGCCGCCACCCGCTCCGTGGCCCAGCGCTGGGGACCTCATCTGGGAAATTGGGGACAGCAACACGTGCCTCCCTCGCTGGGCTGAAGGGAAAGCAGAGCCGAACAGCAGGGACAAAAAGTGGAAAAGTTGTGGTTTGTTTTTTTTCCGGTACCGGGGATTGACTCAGGACCGCGCTCGCCAGGCAGGCGCTCACTCTGCCGAGCTATCTCCCCGGCTTTTTTTCTTTCCTAAGTCGGTTGCTAACATCCCACAGAAGTCTGAAGACACTTTACCCCATCTGCCGCTCCCTGCCGCCGCTCCCACCCGCTGCCCACACGCGCGACGACCACGCAGGAGGGCTGGGACTGCGCAAGGTGGGGCAGGACGAGGGCCGAGGAGGCGCCCGCCGCGGACGGC